AATAGGCATATCTAATATAGGAGTTGTTTGCTCAATTGCTCTAATGAGATCTGCTTTTCTCATTCTATAATAATATCTAATTCTTCGCTCTCTTGCGATTTGTTTTAATTCTTTTACATTTCTATTTTCCATTTTTATATATACAAGAAAATTATTTATATCATTTTCAATTTTTTATTTTTTATGTAAAGAAAATTAAATAATACAAAAAAACGATTTCTTTTAATATTTTTATAGAAAAAGTCTATAAAAATAATTTATTTTTCATTATCTATTTTATTTTTGTGATAATGCATCTTTTTCTTTACTTGCTCTTATTATTTCAATTTTTACTCCATCTACAATCTTCCCATTTTTACTAAAAATATAAGTTTTAGAGCGCTTTTCTTTTTTATTATAGGCATAAAATGATTTGTAATTTTTAACTTCACCAGTTTCTATATTAGTAAGTTTAATTTCCCATGGATCTGTTCTAATTGTTGCAAGATAATCATATTTAGGATCTCTTTCTTTTTTTTCTTTTGTTGGAAGAAATTTTGGTCTTCCAGCAGATTTTTTTTCTTTTATTACTTTTTCTTTTTTAACTCTTTTAACTCTTACAATCTTTGGTTTTTTTTGTTTCTTAGTAATGATATTTGTTTTTACAGAATCTTTATCAATTAAGTTATTATCCATAGCAATCATAACTAATGCCATAGGATCTTTAGATGTTTGTTGTATATTATTATCTTTTAATAAATTTAATAAATACTTTTTCGTATATTTTATTTTATCACTCATTCTTTTTTATATATAAAGAAAATTTATTTAAATTATTTTCAAATAATTTAAATAATAGTATTTTTTTTTATTGCATATATATTTTTTAAAAATAATTATTTTTCTTTCAGAACCTAACGAAGTCTGAGTTCCAAAGTAACCTAATATTCAAACATGAATTTATTTCCATTAGAAATAAGTTTTCCTATTCTATCTGAAATGATGAGAGCAAATATTAAAGTACCTGCTGGAACAGGTGTATTAAATTCTGCTTTAATATTAATATTTGCAGTATTATTTTTCATTCTTTCTGATTGTTTACTTACATTAAAATACATAATAGGATATAAATCTTTATAATCTGAAGGAGTGATACCGCATAGACTAATAAGATCAGTCATATTATAATAATCTTCAGCAAAATTGGATGCATTTTTATATGCTCTACTAATTTTCATATTTGGGAATGATAAATTATAATTAGTTGCAGGATATCTTTCTTCATTAAATTCAATCCACATATTTCTCAAATCACAATGATCAAATATTGAAGAATTTTGTTCTTGATTTCCACCCCTATTTGTTTGAAAACCAACAAGTACATATCTAGGTTTTTCAGTAGTTTTTGTTCCTAAGTTCCAATCAAATGAAGTATTTTGTGGAACATTAGTTTTACTTAAGTACCTTGATCTAAAACCCATATCAAGTGTTTCTTGTGATTTAATTATTTTAGTAAGTTCTAAATCTGCTACAGTAGATGGAGTTGCACGTTTCATCATTAATGATATTCTTGTAATATCTACTTTTCCTGCAGCTACATTAGCAGCTCTAAAAATTGCATTATCATCACTTTGTCTTAACAAAAAAAGTTCATGTTTTAATCCATAAAAAACTTTATCATAATCTTCACAAAATCCGAAAATATGCCTTAATGGAATACTAACTTCAAATTTACCTTTTGTAGTAGGTTTTTTAATGATATATTGCTGTCTTGCTGAAAATCCTATATTATTAACTAAATCTGCTGCTGCTATATTATCTTTATACCACATTTGACTTAATGCTTTTGATTGTTGAAAGTCATTCGGATATTTTAATAATCCAAGCATTGTAGTTGCTATACCTGGAAAAAGAATTATTTCAACAGGTTGATCAAAGAATCTATATTCAACTCTTTCAAATAAATGCATAATACCATTGTTTGCTAGTGCTATTGCATCTCCATCTGCATATGCAGTCCCATCTGCTTTTACAAGCCTTCCTTCAATTTCTAAATAGGATTCATGTGGATGAAAAAAAGAATCACTGCTTTCAATAAAAATTCTTATTTCTCCTGAATTTAAATTAGAATTAACAGAGGGTGTAAATTCATATTCTTCATATCTTTTAATTTCCTCGTCATATACTAATTTATCAGTAATATTAAATATATCAGATTTTACCATTTTTATATATGCAATATAATTTTTTTAAATCACTTTCTGCTATTTATAAAATTATATTATTCTAAGCCCATCGCCTTTATGTTTTTTAACTAAATCTTGTATTCTAACAGGTTTACTTTTTATTGACGACCCCATCATGATTTTACTAATATCTGGCACTGCTTCATTTAATTTATTATCTAAAGTATTTATTAAATTTTTAAGTTCTTGTTTATTTTCAGGTGTTAGCTTAGATGATTTATTTACATTTTCTATTAATTTTTTACCTTTATTTATTACAATTTCTTTAGCAGTAGATATTGCAGAAGTTGCAAGTTCTTTCCCTGCTGACTTTGCTGCATCTACAGCAGTTTTTCCCAAGTCTGTAGCAGCTGCTCTACTGGCAAAATTACGAGATGCATTAAATGCATTACTTAGTACTTGCTTATTTAACATACTTAAAAAAGGTGTAAATAGTCCACTTCCACCTACTTCATACTTTCGAGTATATCCTTTATTATTTATAACTAACATTTTATTTACACTATATATTTTTTAATTCATTTTAAATGAATCTAGGTCTCAAGAGACTTATTTAATTATTGGTCCATTTTTATTAAAATGATTAGTTAACATTGTTTTCATACCAGATAATGCTCTAAAAAAATCAGAAGATTTTGCCTGATTATACATATTATTTATATCTGTAAATATTCCACTTCCACCTCCTACATACTTTCGAGTATATCCTTTATTATTTATATCTAACATTTTATTTACAATATATATTTTTTAATTCATTTTAAATGAATCTGGATCCCTTTGGGATCTAATTCACTTTGGGATTATCTTAATTGTTTTTTTAAAAGTCCATTTTGTTCTTCTAAAAGATATACTTGTCTTTCTAAAAGATGTTCTGATTTACATTTTGACACAATTTCTTTTATTTCATATTCAATACTTATTGGTTCCCCTTGTAAAGTAAGTATATGCCCATCTTGATCCATTATTGTTGTTTTCATATCCCAAATTTTTTTTGATAATAATCTATAATAAGTTGGATTATTCGGTACTTCTACAATTTTATAACCCACTGGCGCAGATGGATAAAATGAATATATAACATTTGAATATTTACCATCTATAATTGATCCTGTTACAAGGCTATTTGTTACATTAATAGTATTAACATGATTTATATCTATTACTTTATCTGAAATATATACTTTTGATGAGTCAAATGTTATAAGATTACCATCACGATCTCTATTATTAAAACCTAAAAGGTTTTTTATAGAGTCATCATCAAGTTGTATTCTAATATTGCTATTTTTATTAATAATAATCTGTGATCTTTCAGTATTAAAATTTGCTTCAAATATAATAGATGTAGGATCAAGTCTTATACTATCATACTTTTGTTTTTTTTTAAAATTTTCAATATCTGTGCTTGGTACATTTTTAAAAGACTCTTTATATTTAGCAAGTTGATCTTTAAGAGTAGTCATTACATATCTAGTTACAATTGTATTTATATTTTTAAGTTCATAGGATCCTGTTGGGATCTTAATTTGTTGAAAAGCAGGAC